GCTTATAAAGAGAGAATGAGAAGTAGGCTAATTTCTACATTATATATAATATGTAACATTTGCACACTACAATGTCTATAAACACTAGACCTATCTTATTTATTTTGCTGAGTAGTGTACTTTCCAAAAATCTTCAAACCCAGAGAAATCTGTCATTTTATTCAGGTAACAGTGCATTTCACCGCTATCCCCTTTCGCGTTGTGGTTGTCTGCCAGAAGCTGTCAGAAATGGACTTTGTATCACGTTTTAGCTCACTGTTAACTATATATTTAAAGCACATGAAGGATTTTAGTCATTGGATGTCTGGATCTTAGGTATCAGAGAAACGAGCCACTGCTAGCAGCGCGTTCTTTGTCCACCGAACAGCGTCAGAAAACAGAGTCTTTAAGGTTAACTGATTTATTCAGTGTTTTAATCACCAGCGTCGGTTTGCTTTGGAGAGGAGACCCACAATCCCACGCTGCTTCACCACATCATCAAACCGTTGTTATTGGGTTGACGTGAGAGATTTGATCTGAATACAAATGCTGCGCTTCTTGCAACCAACGTAGCTGCCCCCTGCTGGCCACTAGAAAGAATGCAGGTTTAAGACACATCCGCACTGGCCTTACTTCCTTAGTAACTTGTAATGTAATTGTGGTGTTGCTGCTTTAACTAAAGGATCTGAATACTTCTTCCACAACTGTCCAACACCGACTCATTCAACCAGGAAGAGGAGGCCTGCAACTAAATAAGGAACGTCGAAACCAAAGGGGCTGCACACATTTCTTTAATACATTTGTTTTCCATTCAAGTATTGTGAGAATGACCCCAAGCAAGAATCTGGAGTTTATAATCATCATGTAGAGATAAACTACGCTCCGTGTATTAACTGGAGCTTTTATAATCCCACTAATTCACTGGACTGTGCTAAGAAGAAAAGTTCTGGGACTTGAAATAATTTCCCAAGTAAACATGATTTAAAAAGACATTGGCCTGCAGTTAATACACACCAGAAACAATGTTGAAACAGTTACCTCTGATACTCGCAGCGGGTCGTATTACCCAGCTGTGTCACCCTTGGGTGTTGCAAAAGAGCATGCACCTCTAGCCAGGAATAATATTTCTGAACCGGACCAAAATGAGCTCTGTTGTAGGGCAATCACTGTTAATGTCCGTGAAAAGGTATGTTGGGAGCGGGCAGCTGAGAAAAACAAGTGACGAACCATTTCATCAGCATGCTATGAACACAGGCACCGCAGTCATAAAACAGCAGTTGAAACTAGCATGAGATCGGATGTGACAAATTCAGACTGCAGGCTGTTTTTTTTAAAAGACACGGTAACAAATATTTGTGCAAGAGAAAGCAAATGAGTTTCTTGCCTAACACTAATACATCCCATATGATCAGAGTCTCTCTGTGACTTTGAACCCCTTCATTAAATACATTAGGTCATCTTGTTCTACGTAATGTAAACACCAGTATTAAAGGGATACTGGTAAGTCAGCTATGACTTTAAATGACCTCTGTTGGCCACCGGAGGGAATTGCAGTAATAAGTTCCAAAAAATTGTTCAAATGTGAATCACATTTCCAAAAAAGTCAACAAACGAAGGTTTGGCTCAACAGGTGTTTCCATTAATGCAAACAGTATAAAGAGGGTGTAACTAGATTACATAAAGAGATCCAGTAACTCTTCTGGGTCCAACTTTTCCCTACATCCATTTGTTTCTTCTACATGTGGTGTTTTTTATTTGCTGCCATTTGTGTTGTTTTTTTTAGTTTGGAAGGTTTCTGGCTGAAGTCATAGTTTGATGTTTCTTGTCAAGAGTTAGAATAGTTTGATGTTTCTTGTCAAGAGTTAGATGAGAAGATTGACAGATCTGTAATATCTGTTCATGAAGCATTGCGCTATAGGAATCCCCCCGGAAAGAGGGCACTGATGCCAATTTGACACAGTGGCTAAACCGTGTAATGACAACGTCGTGTGATGCACTGCGGCCCAAAAGACTTTATTCCCATAAGGTTCCATTGTGAAAGAAGTGGCTGTAAAAAGGTAGATATATAATTTTTTGGAGCGTAACAACACAAAATGACTCGTTTCACAACCAGAAATTGATCCATTGGGTCCGATAACATTTGGAAAGGATAGAAGAGCCACGCTGTTAAATAATTTAATCCACATTCGAGTTGGTGGAGGGCTAAACAGGAAGTCTCTGGTGCGCTCGCTCTATGGGCCACACAACCTGGACGTATATGTAGAAGATTTGGGTAGTTTTATATCTTTTTCTGCTTCAAGTCCCCAGAGAGAGCGCCGGGCTTTGAAGCCAATTTTAACATAGTTGCCGAATCGCGTAATGACAGCTATGGTGTCCGTCACATGATGCATTACATACATTGTGAAAGACGCAGCTGTACAACAGTGGATATATTATTTGGAGCGTCACAATTACTGATGAATGGCCGTCTCACTGTCACACATTTGATCCATTCAGTCGGATAACATTTGGAAAGTCTAGAAGAATCCCTGTTCCCCATTCATTCAGGGCTAAACTGGAAATACCCAGTTTCTGGTGCACGTGCTCTGTGTACTGTATAGCTACATTAGCCCACAACGGATAAACCAAACACTGGCTCTTTTGCCACCGTAGTTTTTCTTACATGCTTGGTTGAGCCATGGGGTTTCAGTTTGTTGCAATTTGCAATCTCTCCACTAGATGTCACTAATCCCTACACACTGGTCCTTTAATACATCCGTGAGCTTGAGCCAGGAGGTGATTATCTTAGCTGAGCTTCACCTTAAGACTGGCTTCAAAAAGCTCAAAGTGCAACACATGAAAGTTCATTTATGAATACATTTGTAGGCACGGCAGTTTTTTTTTAACTTTAAATAGAGTCAAGCTAGCGGTTTCCTTCTGTTTCCAGTCTTTATGCTAAGCTAACTGTTTGCTGGCTTTAGTCATTCATTCACAGCTACACTGTCAGGCAACCAGCTGAGACGCTGAACACAAGTGTTGTGGTGGACGTATGAACTGTTGTTCATCAAGATACAGTAACAGCGTGTAATTCCTTTATAACGCCAAAAACTGTCAGTTTGAAATTTTTTTGTTGGTTTCCAGATTAAACAAACAACAATAAGCGCTGATTGGAAAGGTTTCAAAGTGTTGCCACGTCAGCAGTTTCCAGTCTTCTGTAGTTTTATATTTATTGGACAGATATGGGAGCGGTATCAATCTTCATATCGACCTCTGAGCAAGAAAGCAAACAAAAAGTTTCCCAAAATGTCCAATTGTTCCTTTAAGTGGAGCCACAAATGCTGACAGAAATAAAGCAGAGAAAAATGAAGAATTTCCATCAACACGTCAACTGTTCCACCTCAGCAAAGTACGGAAACATACTCTAATATTTTGGTATTTTACTCAAATTTCATGTGTCACCGCAAAGATTTAAAAAAAGAACAGGCAGGTGATGGGTCATAGTGTTAATCCCTAGCTTTGACGCAGACAGCGAGGGAAGGGCCAATAAATTAGGATCCATGGAGCTTATCACACAGTCTTCAGCACATTCATCCCAAGGTCGAGAACATAATGTGTGTGTCCCTTTGCTTTTCCTGGCAGCGTGCCCTCACCTCATCCTTTTGTTGAGTGTTACACATTATATACGTACAGTGGCAAAGAGACTCTATAACTCACATACGACACATAACCTCGCAAACCTTCTTGCAGAGAATGAACGGATCGTGTTTTGCGGTTCATACTTTCACTCGTAATCCGATTAAATATTTTGAAATCGTTGTTTACATTTTGAACAGTCAGAAGTGTAAAACAATCCGCTAAAAAACTGAAATGCTTTTGTTATTTTCTTCCCCTGGTGTGAAATCGAGGCGAACATACACTGCCAGGGCAAACAAATATTTTAGGGCGAAACAAATCTTGGCTCGTCCCTGTCTCCTGCTCGTAGCACCATGCTCCTTCTGAGCACTTGAACAAACAATCGGAGCATCTGGTGAAATAATCGCTGAGTCACTGGTATTGATCAACAACCTGATCAACCTCCCCCTGAGGTATATTAAGGCAAAAATCTGTGCTTTACAGAGCGGCACAAATCGTGTTTATGACCCCTTTAACAGCCACGTTTATAAGATTAAATGAGGTTGGGAAAAAAAAAGATAAAATGAAGTGTGATTCAGCACTCGTTTCGAACACCTCTGTGCAATGGGAACACCGGTCGAGGCCTGCGAGTACTAACCACGATTCCCCAGCACAAGCTCCATGCCAGTGATACCATGAGACTAATGATTAAAACAAGCCCCCTCATCTGTTTGACTTTCAGAGAGCCAGATTTCCACCCCCTGCGCAGCACTTTTCATTCCAGCAACATTACATAAATCAGTGGACTGCAGAGGAGTGGAAAGGAAGAGTCCCATAAGTAAAAAGAGGGAGGAAAAATATCACAGGGAGAACCATCTGAGTAAGAGTTTACTACAGCTTAAAGCAGCATATCTATTAATTGCCTTCCTCAAAAAATCCTTGTTGCACAATCAAAACAAGTTCTTGTGTAATCCATGATACAGAGGTAAAATTAGACCTGATGATAACATGTCTTGTCAGCGTGGAGTTTTGCTCTATCTGCTCCTCTTTATCATGAAGTTTGGACAAGATATACAGGAGTTGTAAAGCATTTCTACACATCCTGCATCCACCAAACAATGGTTCATGTGTCAGCTGGAGTCAGTGTGAGTGCTCACACACAGCTGAAACACTCACAGTGAAAACTTCTTCACACTCAATAACGCTGAATGCCATAAGAGAGAGGAAAGAAGAAGTCATTTAAGCAGACTTTAAGATGATCTAAGTGAACTAAAAGCCCGCATTAAAGAGTTTTCCACGCGCGTGCATATAAAACATAAATAAATCACGTGCGGGTGTCTCCATGGTCATTATTAGACTCAGTGACAGAACTTCTTCACTCATTTAGAAGCACATTAAAGAAACAGTGAGGTGAGATATCTGGTTCTTACCGCTTTGTGTCCACTCATCGTTCACAGCCTGTTGGTAGGTCTTTGCCTCGCGCTGGCTGCACGCGGATTGTGCTTCCCACTGTCACAGCAGCTCTCTGCGCCGCGAGCGCACTGTCTGCAGCTGCTCTGCTGCGCGCGCGCACAGGCACCTTTCCCTTTTTTCTTTTTTTTTAAGCTTTAATAAACAGAAGATGTGATTCAGCTAATTAAATTCACTTAATGAAAGTGTCTCTGGTCATTAGTTGTGGCCTAATAACTGAATATTATTCATTATTTATATAAGTTTTTAAGTGTTTTCTTTCGTTACTTTTTGAAGTTACTATCACCTGTGGCTTTGCGTTTAAACTTAATATTCCAATAATATTTTTGCTACCACTTTCCAGAAAGTCAACTTTTCTAAAGGGTTTATAAGATGTCACTATATTGAACAGTAATCCTTTATTGACTTTAATGATATGTCAACATAAAATCATGTATGTTATATGTTCACTGCACGTTGTTGTTCTGTGTCTGGCTGTATATGTGACAGTAAAAATTGATTATATTCTATTCTGATTCTATTTTAATGGTTAATGAATCATTTACTGATTGATTTAAGTTCCCTGCACCCTTCCTGGCTGTCCAGCCAATATGGGTTTAGAAGACACAGGACAGCCAGATTGCCCACATGATAACTGATAATGTTCAGTTCCACAAATTTAAAAAGAGAATATTTCATACTGTTCAATTTCCATGAATGAAATGTTTAATTATGTTATAATACAGTACTCTCTGTCTTAACTGCATTTTCTGTGAATCTAAAACTCCCTTAAAGAGCCAAACTCAACATTTCACCTTCAGACAACCAAATCAAATCCAGGTTCTCCAACTTAACTTCAAACATTCAGTTAATCCACTAATGCTGTTCAGTTATGAGCCATTAATAAAAACAACGCTTGGGTTGCCAGGTTGGGTCTGCTGTTTACCCTACTCCTGTGTTACACTTGCTTCGTCCTTTTAGCTCTCTAGTTCCTCCTGTAAACTCCTCCAGTTTAACCTCTGACCTTCTGAAAGGTGGCTGCTGCAGGGCATCAAAACTGTTCTTATTAACATTCACAACCACAGACTAGGATTATAAAACTTTTTATTTTTAACCAACCAACATTTACTATTATAGTTGACTCACTAACTTTTGCTGTTGACTTATTTGCATTTTGCACTCTTAATAACATTTCTGAATGTTATGGTTAATTACCTTTTATTAATAACTAACTTTAACTATAACTGCCAGTGTGATAGCTTATTAGAAAGTGTATAAAGTCTTTAATTACTCGACAGCAAGAGAGACTTCACAACTAACTTCTCCATAAAACATTAGTAAATTATTAATATAAGATCCTCTTGTTTGTGTTATGAGACATCAAATATTCTGCTGCAATAACGGATTGTGTCTGATGAGTTTTTTCCAGAAAAAAAAAGTCTTCTCCCTCATTAGACAAAGAATCTGTGAATATGCAAATATTTTTCATTTCAAAAGTTAAACAGCTGGATGCAAGATGTTTTCTTCTTCAATGGAAAGTCCATTAAGTGTGTTGGAGATTTCAGGTTTCCACATCGCACTTGGGTAATTTCACCACAATTTACTTATAAACTAGTTGTGGTGTTGCAAGAACCTGATCGTATGTACGCATCGGACGTGTATGAGGTGAGAATGTAGAAAAGTTCCTATGAATGTTAAAACAGACTTTTACTGTCAATTGCACTTACATAATTCTGCACCACAAAGTGAAGAAACTATAAGAAAAACACATCATCATTATTATTTTTTTAACATTGTAATGTGGACTCTGGATAAATAGTAAGTTATTTCCACAGTATTAAAGACCCCACTGAGTGATATCCCAAAGGAAGGAGTTGGATCCTTTAACAATTGGAGCTGCTACCAATTTCTTTTCTTTTTTCTTTTAAATAAATAAATAAATAATGATCCTATAACATACTTTGTTAAATAAAATGCAGAAATGTTTCACTGTGGTTATAAAATATAAAGACACAAGCACGGTGAGACAACACATATGATGTTTTTACATTAGTCAAGGTTTTTATACCAAACATAATGTTAAAAAATGGTTGTCTGGAAATTATAAGGTTTAGTACATTCGATAGTTTAAGTGATATCTGTCCACACATACCAATCATAAGTTAAAATACTGCTAAATTTGGCTATTGGCTAAATTTGATCTAAATCATAAAAGCCAGAAGAGGTATTAAATGAAGAGTAATTTGGGAGCTGAAATAACTATTGACTCTCTGAGCTGAGCCAAATCATCTGGCTCACTAAAACGAGCTGGAATTGATGTCACTAATTGCTTTAGAAGGATAATGAAATAATAATGATATACCAATATAACTGTGGGTCTATAATAGGCAGCTCACTCTGATGTATTTTTTATAGTCTATTACCATTTTAGTGTCCTTATAGAAACCCATTATAGGTGATCTATTTACAGAGATCTACCTGATATTTGATACCTTTTTATTGGCACCACAGCTAACCTTCCTATGCTCCCTGTGTTAAAACCTTTTTTAACTATACAGTCTACGGTTAAAGCAACTGTCTAACTCAGCTGGAAGAGCTGAGTCAGCCATTAATCAAATGGCCGCAGGTCGAAGTGTCCTTCAGCAACCTCAATTTGCTCCAATTGTATGCGGGGTAAAGGATTGCATGCCTCTCTTCTATGGTTTACTAATATTCCTATGAAACAACTGACAACATCTGTAGTACGTAATAGTGAGCTCACATGTGTTCTCTTGCACTTTATGGTATTTTTATTTCCAGTGGTATTCCTGTAATGTTCTGCAGTGTGTTTGTGGTGCTCAGTATTGACCTCATACTTGACCATATTCTGCTTCTTTTGGGCTGGCAGTCTTTTTCTATGGGATCTCTGTAATTGCCAGTTTTGTAGAATATATACTTTGGTCAAAATTTATGCTAAATATTACCCTCACAACACTCCCTGTCTCTCCCACGTTTGTACCAATCACATCAAAACTTGAACATACTGTGTGACAGCCTGTCAAACATCTGGCCTCCTTTTTTTTTCTCACTGTTAAGATTGACATAAATACACAAAAGAGGCAAACGAGCAGAGAAAGCTTTTATCTGTATATCTGATTACACAGTAAAACTGCAAGTCGGAGTTGTATTACTGATTCCCGAGATGATGCAGAGAGCTGTAAACAAGTCCTTTGGGACGGGGCTCAAAACAGAACCAGATGGGTGAAAACAATTCACAAAAGAACATATTCTCCATGAAAAATTGGGACATTGTAGGGGTTTTAATGTGCTAACTCGACACAGAGAACAGCTGGTATTGTTCTCTTTTGCTTGCCATCGTTTCTCTTTTCTGTCTCTCTTCCTCCTCAGGTGCAGTAGAGTCATTCAAAAATATTAAAAGTCCCCTTTTTACAAAGCAGACATTTGACTTAGCAGGGAAAGCACAGGTCTTACTCATAACATTAACAATGCCTCTGTTCTATTCTAGTGACCTGTAGACAGTGAACCAGCATGTACAGTACAACAGGAGGACTGTGAAGCAGCTAAATGGAACTCAGCCATTGTTCATTTTATTATTTACACCTGTACTACTGTAATACGCCAAAGTGTCCACCATGGAAAAAAGGCCTTAGGTGCAGTGAGAATATCCTCCACGGGTTGTTATTAAGCACAGAAGTGCTGCGAGGTTTCATCTTGTATTTGGAGAGTAAAATGATTCCCACATTTTACATTGGCTCCGTCCAGTGTTTATAATATAGCTGAAGCTTTTTGTGAATAAAAGTTGTCCAATATAAATTTGCAGACATTTTGACTTCATAATAATGTGGTTCCTAGCGTAGGGGTAAATCCAAGGTAAATCTGAGGGGTCCAGGGGTGTTGGAGGAAGGGGACTGAGTATACAGGGTCCTCGTGTGAAGAGGGACCACAAAGAATGAATAGTTGTGGATGTGGGTAAGGGGCCCATACACAATGCCTACGTACAGGGAGGGGTCACAATAACAAGTTAAATTACCTCTAGTTTTTTATTTTTCACAAATCTTGGCAATCTTATTATGAAATACTTTTACTTCTTCAGGCCTTGAAAAATAACATTAATATGAAATAATTGAGTGCAAACTGTGACAAGAGGTCAGGAGAAAATATTAATTAAATATTAAATAATATTACAACTGCATTACAGTAAGGTGTTATGAGGCATTATCAGGCTTGGGGAGTAACACATAACATGTAACTGAGTCAACTGTAATCCATTACAGATACAGAAAAAAGGACATATTGAGATTACTGTTACATTTTGTAAAAAATGGGATTATTTAGCAGGAATAAAATACATCTTTTTCTTCTTTAAAAATGAGCACATGAGGACATTTTTGATGCTATAAAAATGTTATGTTGATGTTAATTGTTTCCATTTTTTTCCAATTGTTCTGTTGTTTTATAGAATACATTACACAATACTTCTTACTAATGTTTATTTTCTCTTGTTTTTATGGACATATTTGATGTCGAGGTAATCCAAAAGTAACAGAAAGAAATACGTAACTTTAATATTGTGATACTTTACAACATTATTTAACAGGTATTTAGTAACTGTATCGGATTACATTTTTAAAGTAATCCTCTTAATTCAACTCTTACTCACTGCCACAAACAATATTTTATTAATGACGTTTTGATGCTAGATGGATCTTCGTCAGGTCAAAACGGGTTAAAACCACACATATAAGATCTCTGTGTGGTTAATCATCCCAACCAGGATAATAATCCTCTGGGAGCAATTAACAATACAATTAGATCTGTAGACAAAAAGTAAACATATAAACAGTAATGTACTTTAGAATATAAATACACACATATATCAGACACATCAACACATATTAAAGCCCACCAAAAATCACCATTTGTGTTAACACACCTGTATTTTTCATTAAATGACAAGTCAAAATGTGAGCTGTGAAAAAAGGCCTGTTGTACCATACCTGGACACTAGATGTCCTCAGAGAGTTTCCTGCTTCTCTAGATCACCTGACTTTCTTCTTCATCATCCACCTGCTTGCACAGGTGTTGCTTATTCTCTCTCTCTCCTTATTTCCTGGAAATAATTTTTACGGCTGCATTCACCGATTTATATTTAAAAAAATAAAAATAAAACTAAGAGAGGTTTGTGTGAGATAAGACTGAGCACGCAGGCATTGTGTTTTAAAGGTCATGCACACCTCTACACACAGGTGTTTTCAATTATTCTGGCTGATTAGACAGAGCTATGAATAGGATTATGTTTCATCAAACTCAATGTAATAACAAAGGTGTAAATTGTCCCACTTTAACGGCTTCAGTAGGAGAGGGAGGTGCTGCTGTGAAGACGTTTAATGTGGGAAAATGTAAATGAAAGCACCAATGTGGGTGCTTTGAGAGAGTTTTAAACATCTTTCAGTTCCTCTGCTGTCAAACCAAACACAACGCCAACAGTCCTGCACTGAGGACATACAATCTAAATGTGGCATAATCCTGTATTCTGGTTTAAATTACTGTGTGTGGGAGATTTTGTGTAGATCAGTTTATGAACACACACCTGGACCAGCATCACCATTCATGTATTTTCATAACAGCAGTGCCACCTCCTGGCTGAATATGGCAATGTAAACTGTTGCTTCAACTCTTTCCAAAAGCACAATATTTAAATTACAAATATTGATTTGTATAAAATTATCAAACGTTTCTGAAGTGAAATGGGACATAAAATTAAAAAATAACCAATGTTGTAACCCAATTATTGAATCTGAGCAGGAAATAAGTTAAATATGCAGAAAATATAATGTGTGTGTTTGTTTCTTTCCTCTAATATTCACACGAATGGCATTTTCTGGAGTCAAACTATCAAAAAACAAGATATAAGTTGTTTAGGTGGAAGGGAATTGAATGCTCACTCATAAATAATCACAGCTGCACAGCTTATGAGGCTGATTGCTAATTAGCTGCACAGTGTGTCAGCTGTTTAATGCGTTAATGTGCACAAAATAAGCAAACAAATGCGCCAAATATCTTCAAATAAATAAATAAATATCTTTTAAGTGTTTGTGTCGTGATAATATATTTAATCTAGCATAAATTCTCTAAATATCCTACATCCTATATGTGAAAGGAGAAATAAACTATAATATTCGCTTGTATTCATTTTCTGTCTTTATTGCCAATAAAAATAAAACTATTAAATAAAAAAAAACTTAATATTAACATAATGTACAAGTGTCACTCATATCTCCGTTTACTTGTTTACAAAATTAAAGTTTAAAGCTAAATTAAACACAAATCAAAGCAATAAAATGTGTAGCTTTTGACGTTTTGGAGGCAGGACGGCCTTGATTTTTCAAAAACAACAGGTGAGCACGTTTTCAGTATCAGGTCACACCGCGGGGGCGTAGCGTCCCTCTAATTGACACACCGGTCGCTGACCCCGCTCTCCCGGACTGCCCCGCGATACAAAAACCAGCGCCTCCGTCCGGTTTACTGCGCCATCTCGTTACGTTAGCTCGGCGGCTAGAAGAAAAGCTAGCTCGCTGCTCTTCGGGGCGAACCGCTTGTGCTCAAAAAGGGACGACCTAACAGTAACAGTTTGACAGATTTTACCGAGAAAGCAAGACATTTTACTCGTACAGGTCGTGGTGAGTATTTTGTCCCCAGACATTTTTCATTTTTCCTTCCTTTTTCTTTTGTTTTTGGACGTTTTTTCCCCCCCTCCGCGATGCTTTTTGGACTGAACGTAACGAGGTAGCTAGCTTAAGCTAACTCGGGAGACTCTCACTCCTCCTTCTCCTCCTTCAAAAAAAAAACAAAAAAAAACAAATGCTGGTTGTGGTTTTTATATTCACGACGCTTTGGATGCATCTTAGCTACAGTTTCACCCCCTTTTTTCCCCCCTCTCAAGTGTGTAGAAGTGGTTTTTGTAGCGTTTATTGTGAAGACTTTTCCTCTGATCCGCTAGTTAGCTCCTTGTGGGGGTTTTTACAGATGCAGAATTCACTCTGATCACTGATCGATTCGCGTACTATCGACTACAAATTGATCAGATTTTTGCAGGTTTTTGTTTCTTTGCAAGCAGAGGAGAACTGGTCTGGTTGCTGGTGTACTTTTTGTGCCTTTTTAAGAATCGGTGGCTAGCGCAGGGCCTGTGTTTCACCTTAATCGCCTGATGGTGGCGCTGTCGGTGTATTGTGGCTGGTTTTTAGGTATTTTTATTTTTTTTATTAAGCATTTTATTCAGCAAACTTGTTTTTTTTTCTGGCTCATGCTGGAGTAGATTTTTATTTTTATTTTTCCTGGTGTTTTTCTTTTATTTTGTATTTTTTTTTCTCCCCACGATGAAGAGAGATTTTCCTGATTTTGGGAAGCTTTGGACAGTTTTTGTTACATAACGTTACAAATACACAGTTTGTTAATTAAACGTTTGTGAATCTGAAAGAGTATTATGGCTGTTTATGTGTTATCAAACTCAATTCACGTCCTCACATTTACTCCTAGGCCGCAGGTACACACATAAACCTCCACTTGAGCTGTTTTAATTAATGTGGGGGGGAAATACTAAAATTCAAAACACTTTACAGGTCACTAAAGAGTGTTTTTATAAGATTATGTTTAAAAAATAACAATGCATCTGAGCATTTATCCCATTAATGAGTGTTAATAGTGAAAGCCTGTCCACAGATCTTCTGCTGTCCTCCATTTTGAGGTGGTGAAACTCAGCTTGTTTACCTTTTTTATTGTCGTCTTCTACATTTATTTTTAATTTAATCATTTATTACACGTCAGTAGATCCTAACTTGTTAAATATGTCACTTAAAAACTGATATTCCTCCATTGTTAGTGTGAAATACATGTGACTAAACTTACGGACTGGCAAAACCTCATGAAATGAACCTGTGAAATAAATTAATAATCTTAAATGTGACACCTTCAGTGATCAACATTTGCTTTCAGTTTGTCTAAACAATTAAAATATTGAGTTCCCGTGATTTGCAAAGTAACATTAAGGGATTTTTTTACAGTTTCTTTACGTACTGAGCCTCGTTAGATCAAGTGGATGCTCTGCTGACATTCACCTGCGCTGTTTATACAATACCAACTCCTGTGAGCTCCTACGTACATGTTTAATAAGGGCTACACAAACATAAACACATGTGACCTAACTGGGGCTCGCCCAGTGCACTCTTACGTGTCCAGTTACGGATATGAACGTGATGGTTGTGTGTTTAGTCCCAGGTTTCTGTGTACTGTATTCTCTCACTTCTCATCGTTTATGTGTAAAAAGCAATTGGATGTTGCACTGAAATCCTGCATTAAGGTGAGGCTGCAGTCCCAAAGTGGTTCGTTGTAATGGGATTTTCTCAAAGAGGCTCCCCCCTACCCCCTTTTCTTTTATTTATTTTTTGTTAAATTGAACTTGTTGGACTCTGTTTGTGTGTTTGCCTCGTCCCTGACTCTCTGTACACACTCCAACCAGGTAAGACTTGGTACAAGATAACCCTGCTCAGCTTGACTGAGGTGTGTTTTCTGTCACCTCAGTATAAATCGCGAGGGGCGAAGGTGAAGGTCGAGACACCAGCCCAAACTGATCCCAGCCCACAGTGTCAAACATCAGACAGACGACAGCCCTGCACACAGACGCTATGGAGTGAGTGATGAATGTTCGACCCCCCTGTCAGCCAGGGGGCGTTACTGTTGATGCCACCACTGTTTTTTTTCCTTCATGTTTGCTGTATCAGCTCACTTCCCATCTCCAAATTCACAGAAAGCTCTGGGCTCCACTCAGCGCTCGCATCCTCCCTTGTGTCCGTCACAATGAAGGTGTCCTATATTGAGAGAAGGGCTGCTCACACGCTGTTAATACGTCGTCATATGAGACTAGATGACCTTTAGCATTTTGGCTCAGATAATTGTGGTGTAGCTTAAATGGTTTCCTCTACTGGTCTTAAATAGTTGTCTGAACGTGTTGAACTGCTCTTGCTGAGTGAAATAGTAATTGTTTTTATCTGCTTCACCACCAGAGTCACATTTTTTTTTTATTTAATACCGTATGCAGGCACCAATATACTAATCTAAAATGTCTTAATGAATATTGAGTTAAAGTAATGTGAGGTTTTTTATTTTTAGTGTCGCTCACCTCTAAACCTCAAACTCTAAACATTAGGCTCTACCTCACAGCTTTGGGAAATTAGACCTCCCGGCACATTATGTTGAGAATATCATTTTTAAAAGGCCTGTAAAATAAAACATTGAAGTGGTTACAGGTCCCCGTTTGTGTCTCTCTGGTGGAAAAGAAGGATGGTTATCTTGAGCTGTCGATGGACAATGACTTGCTGTCCTGAAAATACTTTGTAGGTTTGGGGATAAACCGCTGTCACATAGACCTTTTTTTTATTTATTTTTTATTTTTTGTTAGTTGAAATACAGCTCAGAAATTCATCTCTATGCGTTTCGTTGCTCCATCCTCAGACATGTAAACATGCTGCAGAAAACACTGGTGGTGGTTATTTGTGTTGGTGCAGATGCTGTATAAGGGGTTTAGCAGGGATGTCGTCACTGCACTGGTTTCTTATTCTCACTATGGTTTTGTTATGTTCTGTGTGGCCCATATTGGGGCTTAAGTGCGCTTTAATGGTCCAGTTCAAAGTCTTGAATATAATGTAGATTGCCGAAACCCACTTAAATAAGATTAACGGTAAACCTCCTGAATAGCTCAGTACATATCTCACTATATTTTATATGCTGCAGTATAATACTCTTTAGTAGTCACCTAATTGCAGCACACTTAATATACTGGAACAGTAAAAGAAAATGTCTTTTTAAAGGTTTATATGTTATAGTTTTGTTCTTAGTAAATGCAGCAATGTGCCTTTTTTGTTTTATTAGGGAGTAAAATTCTTAATTCAGCCACAAAAGGTAATTTTGATCCCACATATAAAGTCTGGTCAGTTTGAGTTTGGCCTCAAATGTGGATGATCATTGTGTAATTTGTAATCTAATTGCACCTAATTTGCTTGGTTGGTCGGAGCATGTGCTGCCAAATGAGAAATTAATTAGATCTTTTATGTTTTTTTTCCATTACTCATGATTATTTTTAGACCGTGAGGGAACTGGTGGTCACTGAACCAAAAGGGGAATAAAATGATGCAGCTACGTTTGCTTCTTGTAAATTTTATGCAAGTTAGAGCAGATTTAAAATCAAAGCATAAAAAATTAGGCCAAGTTTGCCACTGTTGATACCAACAGGGTAAATGGCGTCATGTCAACCCATAACTGCCGCAGTTTTCTCCTTGTTGCCGTTTTCATTTCCCAGGAAAGCCTGTTGATCGTGTCCTGATTCAGTCGCCACAGCTGGGTGGGTTCTCCAGTATCTGACCCAGCGACAGCAGGGGTAGTTCATAGCGGTGAATGTCACTCATTGTGCCACTAACTCTGTGTGTGTGTCTGTCTTTCTGCTAGTCGTTCACCCACCACCTCTGCCCTCATGGCCGCCAGCAACGTCACCAACAGGACCGACCCACGCTCCCTCAACTCTCGGGTCTTCATCGGCAACCTCAACACCCTGCTGGTCACCAAGGGGGACGTGGAGGCCATCTTCTCCAAATACGGCAAGATCGTGGGCTGCTCTGTCCACAAGGGCTACGCCTTCGTTCAGTTCGCCAATGAGAGGAACGCCCGAGCTGCTGTCAACGGGGAGGACGGGAGGATGATTGTCGGACAAGTACTTGGTGAGGATGGAATGAGGGAGGGAGAAACATTCTTAGAAAAGCTTTTCTTATCTTTTCAAGTAGGTTATAGTTGGAACAGTTGGTTCTTCATTAGCTTGAAGTAAAGGCACAATTATTCAAAGTCCTTCATCACCGATTGTGTAAGTTTAATAGTTGTTTGCCAAACAATCTTTTTTCCTTCCGACTGATAATATTTAATACCATCGGTGGTCAAATTAACAAATCCCTCGATCAGAAAAGTTTCCCCCTTCAGCAGATAAATGTGAGAACAACTTCTCTAATAGGAATGTAAAAATATACATCTCGCAAATCAAATTGAGATTAAAAAATGAATCACTATATCAATCGTGGTATCAAGAGTTCAGTTTCACTCTTACAAAGAAAAGGACATGTACATTGTTTATACCCTACCTCAGAAATAAACTATTCAGTCATTTGATAGACTTTATTTTGTAGATTTTTGTTTAAGAAGTAAAACTCTTTCAGTCATTTGTCTTCAGTCTCATTTTGTTAAAGAAAATTGTGAATTGTGCCGAATCGTGAGTCGATTGTATCGTTGGATCTCTTCCTGCTAGTGTCAAACTTTGCACATGCATCATTCTGCACAGTGAAGGCCAAAGATCCAGGAGAAATGACAATAAGAAACACATTTTAGTGCAGGGAGACGGTAAATCATTGTCAAACTGTTAAAAATATGAATATTGAGACTAAATTTGAAATTCTCTTCTGTTTTTCTCAGACATCAACCTGGCTGGAGAACCCAAACCTCACCGGTCAAAAACCACCAAACGCTCAGCTGGAGACATGTACAGGTCAGTCACAGTGATACTTGTTACCGCTGTACACTCTTTACACTGAAAGATGCCCCAAGTGAATGTGGTGAAGAGGAAAAAACAACGGCAAAAAGGAACTGAACCAGAAAAGTAAATAAAAATGTTAAAGCTGACCATGACCTTGCATGTATTTCCTCACACGGGCTCTTCTCCTTCTTCTTCCTCTACAGCAGTTCCTCATTTGAACTCGACTACGACTTTCAGAGAGACTATTACGACAGGTGAGTAAAATGTTTCCAGTTGTCTGTTTGTTTGAAAGAGACCTATGAACCTTTTCTGTCACTCATCCGTGTTTCTGTGGTCTTTGTTCTGAACTTCTTCCTGTTTATTTTTTTTACAGCAGTGTGTCTAAACAAATGCAAATGGTGTTTTGTTAATGCTCTGTGTGTAAGTGACAAACTGGAAAGACAGAGTACTCAAGTTTGTTTAATGTTCTGTGTTTTTATTTGTCTGTGTTCGATACCAGAATGTACTCGTACCCGTCCCGCGTTCCCGCTCCCCCTCCCCCCTTGTCGCGGGCCGTGATCCCGTCCAAGCGCCCGCGGGTCAGCCTGAGCGGAGGAAGCAGCCGGCGAACCAAGAGCAGCTTCTCCTCTTCCTCCAAGAGCAGTCAGCGGACTTCCTCGTCCAGAACAAGTAAGAGTCTCTGCTGCTGCTCCAAGATTATCTGAAGCTTTATCAGTCGCTTTTTGGAAATTAGAGGGTAGCTGCAAAAACTTCCTACTTGAGATAAAAATGAATAATAGTTGTTATTGGAGCGCAGAGCACAAAGGGGCAGCAGTTAGGGAGGGTCAATTGATTGTGTAATTGTAACGTCACAGCCCTACGCACAAATAAAATGTACGTTCAGTGGACAGTTGTGCGTCTGGATGTGGACAATAAACACTTTGTCTCCCTCATACTTTAAGAAAAAGTCAGTGGCTTGAGTACACTCGTTTCCTTCCCCTTTCTCTGCAGTGAAAGTGGACGAGCTGCAGACCATCAAGCGGGAGTTGACCCAAATCAAAAGCAAAGTGGACGACCTGCTGGAGAGCCTTGAGCGCATGGAGAAGGACCACAGCAAGAAGTCCGGTAGGGGGCAACACAGTGTGCTTTATTAGGGGGTGGAGAGTCTGTGTCTGACCCGTTGGTTTTATTTATCTGTAGGAGGAGAATAAGACTAGATGGGTTGTAAACTAAAGCCTACAGAACAGAACAGAAACAGCCACAGCGTCTGAGTGCTTCTTATGAGCTGCGTTTTAATATAACGAGCGATGATTTCTGAACACGCGTTCCTGTTTGGCAGAAGCTAAGAGTATAAAAACGGAGCCAGGAGAGGTGACCTCACCGCCGCACCCAAGCAACAAGAAGGATGATGGGATGAAGAGAGACCGGGAGAGCCAGGAGATGAACGACTCGGACGAGGATGACGACGATGAGGAAGAAGAAGGAGACCTGCTGGAGGAGGAAGAGGTGAGACTGAACTGTATATTTAGGTGTAGAAATCTGTCCACATGCACACACGTTCGTCACATTTATAAAACCTCATACGTCTGTTCCCACGTGTTTTTCACTCATACATCTCAATCGTCCTAAAATATATACATGAGCATTTTTATGTGCGATAGGCTAATCAATTAATCAACCAATCAAAACTGTAATAACGATAGCTAAACTGACAAATTAGCAAGGTTAATATATCTGCTTTATTAGCTTGTTGCAGCTTTTATCTGTGGATAAGACGACCGAAAAAATGACTAGTTAATATTTTTCCTACTGTATTATCTGCTCCCTGTTTGTCTTGGTTGCAGTTGTTTAAAAAAACAAATAAGGGGTTTGTATCAAGATTGTTTTTATTTTTAAAACTGACACTAACTTTATTTGTATAGCACTTTAAAAAAAACAAAACAATGTTCATGTACAAAAACATGTTTACGAAGTGCTTTACATGCACACAAAACACCTACAGTCAGATATTATTTAAAAAGAACACGGAACAAAAACATAGTACACAGAAGTGTTTGCTGAAAGAAATTAAATGATTAAAATAAAAAGTAATCAAGAAATGATTGTAATCTGTTTTTACACCTTTTGACGTAAAGCCTGACGTACCGTGTCTGACCGCTGCATATTTAAAGTGTTAGTTACATTGCAACCCACCGTTGTCGATGACATTTTACCACGTTCGCTCATACAAACTTGCTTTTTAAAACTGCAGGTGAAGAGTCAAGAGAGGGAGGATGAAGAAGATGAAGAGGAGGAAGGCGAGCATGTGGAAGGCGACGACGACGATGGCGACAGTGTCAACGGTGAAGAGGACTCGTAGACACGGACCACACCGGCGCATGCGGCGTACACACAGCTTCCAGTAGGAACTCGGACTCCTGTTTTAACACTCATATTGTAGATACAAAGCAAACCAGTGGACACACACACACACACACACACACACACACAAAAGCATGGTGCACACACACACACACAGACACTGTTGTTCTATTGTCCCGAAAGCCGTTTAATTTTTTTGGTTTATTTTGGCCAGTTGTTCAGTATCACTGTAACAGGAATAACTAGCTGTAGGTTCCAGTTTGTGTTTTTACTGCGTCGTTACTGGTCTTCAGGAGAAGGCAGAAACATGGACTGTTAATGTTCTCAGAGACGACAGCTCGACGGACATGTCTTAACGCGAGGACTAAAATCCAGCTACAAAAGACCGTTTTTAGATTCAATGTGTTTGTTTTTCCCTCATCGGTGAGTTTTTGACCTTGTGTGTCTGTATGTTAATGTCAGTTTTTTTTATACTATTCAGTTTAACTGTAAAGGAATAAATTGCAATAAAATATTAAAATGGAAAACAATTCTGTGTTTTGTTTTTGTTTTTTTTCCCCACAAATTGCAGAACTAAATCGGGGTATTTCCCGCATCCTGGAAAAGCTGAATATTAAGTGACCAGTTGGTTGGTTGGTTTTTCCCTGTCGTGCAAATATCCTGGATTTAAAATTAGTTTTCCCTGAAAATTATTTGTATTTTATTTCCTCAGTCAGATCACCTATGCAAACCGAGATTAGTAGTCAAATCACCAGAGATGCCGCAAAAACAAACAAGCTGTGGTGAGAGCATGGAACGCGAGCTAAGCCAGAGTGTCACTAAAACACTGAGCACCTATTTGGAATGAACCTGAGACTGACCTGCATCACTAAAGAAAATGAGGAATAAAACTGGAGTTAAACGTGTAAATATTTGGCCTATCGGCAGCTGAACTGACCGTTTGTGGGACTGTAGTTCCTCTACCACGCTCCGCTCGCAGCAGCTCTATCCGCCACAGTTTAAGAACCACTGGAGTACAACCAACACTGTCCATTGTAAACATCCATCGACACAAACAAGTAGAACATAGTTTCAGCTTTTATTATTATTTTAGATGAACTCTCCCTTCAACAGATATCTTAGTCACAGTACATTCATACATAAATATTAACATAACATCCTGGTTTGATTTTCCCCTTCATGGATGTGACTGTTTGTGGTCAGTGAGGTTTACTGCCAAGAGACACACCTCAAACTCATTCCACCGAAGTCTGTCAATTTGCCAAAACGGCTTGTGGTGCCAGATGATCTAGTTTGTTTTACGCAAGTGAAACACTAGAATCACACCCACTCTTCCCCATAGTGCAGAAAATTCAAGAGTTATTTAGTAACTAAAATCACAAGAAGTCTTTGCAAATAACATGAATATCATTCATTGGTTTAGCTTTTCAGCTAAAAGTACACGGTGCAAAATATACTTTAAATGACTAAATAAATTCAGTAAAAACATTTTATACATAGTTTGTGTGAAAACTGCGCATCAGTCATCTTTTATTGTATCCGACTGGCCGCAGCTTCCCTTTAAGTCCTTCAGGCTCTCAGCAGGAAGGACAGTGTGAGGACACTCAGCAGGAGCAGCACAGCTGGCAGGGACAGAGACACAAAGGGCGTTTATCAGATGATGTTTGTTCATTAGACGTTTATTCTTTCGTGACACGGTAGCCGGGCAGTGATGGTTTTGTTACAGTTGGTAGCTTTTATTTTATTTGTTCAGATTTCTCAGATATCAGTCTGCCTCCACTTTCCACTAATAAAGCTCAATGGCTTCATCGCTTTATGTTAACAATGTCGCTGGTACTCTGAATGATCCTCAGAGAATGTACATGTTAACTGTTTTCATTGGATCTGTTCGGTGTATTTCAGACATTGTTTCTGTTTTTTCTTTTTTTTTTTTTAAAACCTCATTTTGCGAATAGTTTGATCTTCGCAGATAAAATTCCACTTATATCCACTGTGTCTGGGTGGAGGCGTAAATTGACAAATATCTCTGACCAAATGAACCAGAACTAAGAGAGAAAACAGTCATGTTGCAGCTGATAAAGAGAACCAGGATGAACAGTGAGGTAAAAAAGGGAGTAAGCTCAACCTGATTGTCACCTTCTTCATATTTCCCCACCTCTTAAACACTGAGACTTTAGTTAATACACTGCTGTTTAACTGAAGGCAACTTCCACATTGAGTTTTGAAGTTCAGTCTTGACCTTGGCAACAGCAGTCGACAAAACATCTCCCCCCAAATGTCCATTCAGTAGCTGCCACCTGGAGCTTTTACTTGCATTTCATCAGTTTCTCTCCCTTAACTCCATCTGCTGATGATCATCTGATGTGATCGAAAGCTCCAGAACAGTAAATAAAGAGAGAATATTTTGTCTATTTTGAGCTGTGCGCTAACTGAAAGGCTCTCTTGGTCACTTCCTGTCCATTTTCCCATAAAAGGTACTAAACTGCATTGCTTTTTTCCAGAATCTTCTCTATGAATTTACAATCACATCTTGGTAAAATAGAATATAACTATATACTATAATGTTTTTTTTACAGGTGATCACACATCCTTCTGCACAAGTTTGCTTCAATTGACCTGATTTTGTCTGTTTATAGTAGTCGGATTGTTTCATATAAATGTAATGTTATACCAAACCACAACGACATGTGTTACACGTGTTAAATCAGGCCACTGTATCCCTCTGGTGTAGAGCATCTGAAGACCTACTGTCGTGTGCAAGTATATAATATAATGTGGTGTGTGTTGTTTACCATGAGGGTGGACAGCTCCAGATCCTGATGTCGTTGATCCTGTTGTTGTAGGTGCGGTTGTGGTGGCGACATTGCTGGTCGGGTTGGCGAGGTTCAGAGGGCCTTTGTTCAGAGTGACGTTGAAGGCACCGAAAGTAGCTGAACCATTATAAGAGGAGACAAGTACGCTGTTTATCTGTATTCGTATTTTTGCTATATTTACATAAGTAAAGATAATATCTCAATGCAAATAGTTTGTTTTAATCTTGCCAAACCATCCCCAAAAGTGGGTTGAGTTTTAAAAAGGCGTTAAAGTAAGTTTTAGTTGTATTTAAGTGTCTGAAACACTATTTTACATTTAATTCACATTCATTGATCAGAGTTTCTATATCTTGCTAGGCTCTATCCAGCTACTATGCTAGCTAGCTGCTAGTATGATAATTAGCAGTCAACTGGGTCAGTGTCAAGTTATACAGAAGAATTTGGAGGTCATTATGAAGTACACAGTTTAAGGTTAATTTTAAATGCTCAAACTTGTAACTTTATTCAAAAAGTCAGCTGTCCAGACTCATTTTGTCTGTTTTTTAAGGGGAGCTAATAGTAGCTCGTCAGCCCTGCTCACTTTAGACAGAAACATTGAAGTGTTCAGGTTTTTTTGATACATTTTTGCTTTAGTACATAATATTTACTATATTTAACTGAAAGTATTGTAAGTTAGTTAACTGGGTCTGTGTCTAAGTTATATACAAGAGCTTGGCAGTCATTATCAAGTACCCATTTAGTGTAATAGCACAAACCTATCTCTTATAACTTTATGAATAAAAAACAATGAATAATATCAGGATAAAGGGTGAAATCAATAATTATCTTGGCATTTCTATCAGTAATTTGGTGTATATTTATGTATTTTCCATTTATGATGATTTGTTAATACATTAAATTTATACTTGTAATAACATGCAGTATTCTCAAAATAAATCAACAACAAATTCTGTTTCTAAAGGGAAAATACCTGTACTGTGCAATTATGTAGCTCTTTATATATCCTATATATAACCTATATTTCCCTTAAATACCATTTACTGTGTAGTTTTGTGCTGTGCAATTACATCATTTTTTATTCTGTGTTACTGCTGTAACAAGCACATTTCCCCAGTGTGGGATCTATAAAGTCCTATCTTATCTTGAATCATGTTGTTAACCAATATGCTATGTACAGTGTGCGTTGAGTACTTACTTCCATCATATGTTCCAGTCCCGAGGAGGATGAAGAAGGTGGTATCTTTGTTGGCTCTGGTCTGTGTGGCGTTCACATTTGGGACGTTGAACTCGCACTTGATCACGCTGCCGTTCACCATGCCTCGAATTTCTGTCACTGTCTAGGAAGGGAATGTGACATAAAGTAAGTCACCTTTAGGTAAAATATACAGCATATAACACATTTATGCAGAGAATAAGACAAGATGTTTCTGATTTGAGGCCCCTCACCCTCTCCGTGGCACTCTGCTCATTGTTGGAGTTGTTTCTCTGCATTGTCCGGAAGAGGAATGACCCGTTGTTTGAGCTGTTTTGAGCGCAGATGAAAAGCATGGTGTTACCCTGAGGAAAGAATTAGTGGTAAAAGGATGAGATGACTTCCTCGTAGTGAAGACAATAACAAATTCCACAGTCATACACAGTGTCTTTTGTTAGGGCTGGAAAATCAAGAAGAAGTGATGAAATAGTCGAGACAATTAGTTTCTAATTCTACTTGTTCATTCACCTGTGAATGTTTTTGGCACCATTGTGCATTGTTTTGTTTTTGTACTTCCTTGTTTGTTCGTTCATGTCGAGTTTTAACATTCTGGAAAGTTTCACATCGCGCAGTATGTTTCATAGACAGACAACTTGCTCATCTTAAAAACTGTGGAGAATATTTTGATTTAAAGTCACTTGGAGCAAAATTTTAATTACTTTAAAACTTATGAAAAACTAAAACCTGCGGTGAAGTAAATGATATAATAAAAGGTGTAACTAACTTGTTATTTCTGCCATTTAAAAAAAATTAAAATAAATATATATATATATATATAATTCATGCATAATCACTAAAATAATTACACTACAAGCTCAATAAAAATGTAAATGTAAGTTGGATAAAACAAATTTTCTGTATGGCCAAGTCTACTGTTAAGTTAGTTAAGTGTTAAAGCTACATACAAGTGCTTGTATAAGTATAAATGTGCAAATGTATCTGTGATTATAGGTCAACATTATCCAGAAAAGTCAGATATCCAGCAGAATATATTGCCTGTTTGTTGTGTGTTAGCTTTACTGCCTCGTTCAACAGTTAATGACAGTTTGTGATGTTTTAGTTTTGGTTTAGTTTTTATGTATGAAATGTTAATTTTTTTTATCTTTGTAATGCTGTAAAAGAATTTCAGCTTACCAGCAAGCTTTTACTGGTCCACTATAACTCAACTAGTTGCATTATTAAGTAATAAAACCAGTTTATTACTCATCTGTGAAAACATGGCAGCCATATAGCACCTGTTAGGACTCAATGATCTATTCCTTATGTACAGCATTCAGTATTTTAGAAGAGAAATATTCAGTTTTTCTTCAGGCGGTCCTTATCGCCTCAATAAATAACGTATCAGGTCAATAAACGTCACATGACCAGGTCATATTTAGCAGGTCTATGTGGTGAACTAGGTCAATAAAAGTATTAAAAAAAAGCAAGTCAATTTGCTTTTGACGCAAGCTCGGATATGTTAACAACGGGCGTTGTATGATATGATATTTGTGTCTCTCATTTCATCTCATAAAACTTGTCTCGTTCATCTGAAGTATTTACATTTTGTTGGCTGAACGGCTGGACATTTCTGCCTTACACAGCATTACAT